GGTGGTAAACTGGCCTTCTCCACAGCTTCTGTGTCAGTTTCCTGTTAGTTCCTGCCCTGCCTTCCCTGGATGATGGACTGCAAGCTGTAAACTGAAACAATCCCTTCCCTCCTCAACTTGCTTTTGTTCATGGTGTTTATCACAGCAACTGAACCCCAAGACAAGCTATATGATTTATTAGGGTTTCGAGCACACATCTCTCTTTCAAATGGCATAGAATAGAACCCTTCCCCAAAGTACCAAATGCAGTCACAAATCCTATCTGAAAGCCCTTCCAAACATGTTTCTACTAAGACGCCCCCGTTATCAGTGCCATGTACGTGTCCTCTTAGAAATGAGCCAGAAACTGAGTTTTTTCCCACCACATGTGTGCTCCTCTTCCTTAAAAAATATTTATTTATTTACTTAGTGTGTGTTCGTGTGTGTGTGTGTGTGTGTGTGTGTGTGTGTGTGTGTATTTATGTATGTGTGCTCGCAAGAATCAGAAGAGGGCATCAGATCCCGTAAAGCTGGAGTTACATGTGATTGTGAGTCACACAATGTGGGTGCAGGGAACCAAACTTGTTTCCTTTGGAAAAGTAGCAATTGCTATAACTAGCTATCTCTTTAGCCCCCCATCCAGTTATTTTTTTTTAATTACACTCACAGATTAATTGTGTGTATGTGTGCATGCGCTCGTGTGCTCGAGTGTGTACATGCTTGCACTGTAAACATGTGGCAGTCAAAGGACAACTTGTGGGAGGCAGTTCTCTCCTTTCACCATGTGGGTCTGGAGATCAAACTTGGACTGTCATGCTTGGTGGCAAGTGCCTAAACTACTGAACCATCTTGCAGACATCCTGGCATTCAGTATTTCAGTCACTGATAGGATAAAATCCAGTAATGCTAGAACATTCCTGCTGTCACACAAATAGCAACTATCTATTTGCAGAATATTTCTCATCTCCCCCAAAGAAAACCCAAATCCACTTAACTCTCACACATCATTACTGCCTACTTCCAGGGCTCAGAAAATGAAACCTATTTTCTGTCTCTCTTGATTTTCGTATTCTGGGCAATTTACACCAAAGGGATTATGCTATTGAAGTTTGTTTTATTCAATTCAGATAAAAAGTGCTAATGGGTCTCTGAGATGTCTCCGTGGGCAAGGGGGCTTGCTGCCAAACCTGATGACCTGAGGATTCCGGGTCATACAAGGAGTAAGGAGTAAGGAAAATGGACGCACCTAGGTTATCCTTTGGCCTCCATGTGCTTGCAGTAGCACACGTACAGAGTAAGCAAATAAATGTAATTTTAAAAATTGCAAGAAGGTAAACCATAGCTCCCTTTGTTTGACAGCTCTGAGCTTTGAACGTGGGAAGCTCCCAGAGTTATCAGCTTTCTTTGCTGCTTTCCAAGCAGCTGAGACCAGCAGGATGTGTGGTTGCCAGCAGCTCCATCTGCTCTCCTAGGGATAGAAATCACAAATACGAAGAAAACTATGACTGTGATAGAGGCTCTATGTGGACTTAGATAGCAGCGTACGGGGGTGGGTGGAGGGTCAGAGCATCCTGGGTGAATGGGGACACTGAGGCTCAAATAAGACAAACAAGGTGGCCTGGCATTGCAGTGTCCCTGGGTCGGGGAGTGTATGTGATAGTTAACAGTGTCAACATGACTGGACCTAGAATCACCTAGGAGACAGCCCTGGGCACACCTGTGAAGGATTAGCTAGATTAGGTTAATGCAGGTGGGAAGAACTATCTTACCTGGGCCGCAGACATCCTCAACTTAAGGAGAAAGCAAGCTGAGAGCCAGCATCGTCCTCTCAGAGTCCTGGCTGTGGGTGCAAGGTGGTCCCAGCTGCCATGCATCCCTCTCCCTGCCCCTTTTCTCTTGCATTGCCTTTGACAGGGTATTTTATCCCAGCATTGGGAAAGGCAGCTAAACCAAGGAGGCTTTCCTTGAAGATTCAGTCATCCAGGCAGAGCTGTGGGTTAAATCGTCTAATTTACACTGCTGAAGCAGCTCCCTAGAGCAGACTGGGGCACCTGCATTCCAACTGGGCTCAGCAGAAAAACAAAGTGTGCCCTCTGGCCTGTTTTGTTTTTTCACAGGATGTGGTCTTTGGTGCTTGGCTTCTTTCATTAAATCTCATGTTTATAAACCACCGAACCTCCTCTTTATAAAGTTCATCTAGGGGCTGGCTAGATGGCTCCGCAGGTGAAGGTACTTTCCCTGTTTTAGACAGTTCACAACAAGGGGACTGTTATGAGTCCACTGCTGTTTGTTTTACTCAATTCAGAGAAAAAAGTACAAAAAGGCACCATCAAATTAGTTCAGAGGGTAAAGGTGCTTGCTGCCAAGCCTGATGGAGTTCAATCCCTAGGACCTACAAATTATAAGGAGAGAGTCTACTTCTGCAAGTTGTCCTCTGACTTGCACACGTTGCACGTGACATGTACATGCTACCCACAAAACCAAAGTTCATCTAAGCTATTTTTTTCTATGATAGAAAATATAATTGGGCTGGCTGGCATTTTTTTTTTTTGTTTCTTTCACTACTTTTCCATCACCATGTTTTCTCAAGAGAAGTCAGCTTATTTAGTTAAAAGCATGAAAAAAAAATTTTTTTGGGGGGGGGGCAAGGGTTCTCCGTGTAGTTCTGGTTGTCCTGGAACTCACTTTGTAGACCAGGTTGGTCTCGAACTCACAGAGATCTGCTTTCCTCTGCCTTCTGAGGGCTGGGATAAAAGGAATACACCACCACTGCCTGGCAAAAATATTTTTAAAATTACATTTATATATGTATTTGTGTTCCATGGCATGCATGTGGAAGACAGGGGAAAAGTCAGATCTTTGTTTCCACCGCTTGGGTTCCAGGAATCGGACTCAAGTTGTCAGGCTTGGCATTTCCCTGCTTCGCTATCCTACAGCCCCAAGTTCTGTTTTGATTAAGACAATACCCTCTGGCAAGTTGTTCAGGCACGTGTCCTCTGAGCCAAGCCACTGCCACATTGGGGAGTTCAGTGCAGCCCTCTTGCAAAAGGATCATCCCAGCTGGGTTTGCTGACTGTTTACCCCCACCCCCACACCCCATGGAGAGGGTCACAGACGGTCACCCTTGAGTACCCAGCTGCTCCCTTCCACCAGCTGAAGGCACCTCTGCCTCAACCGCAGGTGGCCTGGAGGAGAGGCTGGAATACATAGGCCAGGCAAGAGGGAGTCATGCTGAGTAAGGGCTTTTGGGATGAGGAAGAACACCTACACCTCTCACCTATGCTCTGTGAGGAAGCTCAGTAAACTCGATGACGAACAGGCTGAACATACTCTTTCTGTTCTCTATCTGGCCATACAGAACTTCCTGTCAGCCTGTGGGCCTCAATTCCTAGAAGCTCAATGCCCAGGACCAGACTCAGGTTGTCAGTCTTGGCAGCAAGCACCTTTACCCACTGAGCTGTTTCACTGGCCCTCACTTTTTTTTTTTTTTTTTTTTGAACCTGAGAGGCTTATCAGTTCAGCTAGACTGGACTAGACTGGATGGCTACCAAACCCTGTTATGCCCCAGGCATCCTTTTCTCTACCCTCCCACTCTACAGTGCTGGGGTTATAGGCTCGACCGGTATTCCTGGAATTGAACTTAGGTCCTCACACTTGCATAGCGAACACTTTACTGACTGAGCCGTCTCTCCAGCCCTGTTGCTGGCTCTTAGTTTCAGGGTTTTTTTGTGTTGGCTTCAGTTTGGGGAGAGGCAGCAGCTTCCTGTTCCACTTTGGTTCCATTTTGGTAAAAGGTTGTAGGGTTTTTTTTTTTTTTTTTTTTTTTTTTTTTTTTGGGAGGGCACTAATTCTGCTTGTGAGGATCCTGGCTTTGGGACCTAGTTGTCTATCCGCAGTCCCCACTTGATGATGTTGCTTTGCCGGGTTCGGATGTTGCCGTATCAGTTTTAATGGGAGCCAATCAATCTATTACCATCTTCTTTACCAATCATGGCATTGCCAGGCAACTAGCTAAGACTTAGCAGACTTTCTGGCTGCAGTGGCACATGCTTGTGATCCCACCACTCAGAAACCAAGGCGGGGATCAGGAGTTCAAGGTCTTTCTGGTGTACAAACACAAGTTCAGTTGAAACTGAGCTACAGAAGACCCTGTTCCAAAAACAAACAAGAAAATGGCAGGTTTGGGGATGGCTGAAGATGCAGTTCAGTTTGCAGAGTGTTTGTCTAGCATGCCAAACCCTGATCTCCAGTTCCAGCACCACACAGATCATATGGTGGAACAGTTTTGAGATACTATTCCTGGGGAAGATGTGAACAAGTGACTTTAGATAGGAAACCGATGACAGTCCAAAGTAAGGGTACCACCAAAGTCCACCTTGTGAACCAGTAGGTTTTATTGGCATTACCTTTGAAATATGGGTGAGGCATTACTCACAGGAGCAGAAATGACTCAAAGACAGCTGCATCACCAAAGCTCACCACAGCATGGGTGACAACTCACAAAAGCTCTTTGGAGATGGTTCAGGTCCCTATACTGCGTGTGAAAAGAAGAGGGATAGCTTGACAGAGGTTAGGATCACCCCAGGGACAGGCTTCTGGACAAGTCTAGGGAGAATTTAGCTTGATTAGTTGAGGTAGGAAAGCACTGTGGGCAGCACCATTCCCTAGACAAGGAATCCCAGACTGGGTGAAAAGGAGAAAATGAGCTGACCACAAGCAAGCATCTATTCATTGCTCTCCACTCCTGCCTGCACATGTACGGTCACCGACTGCCGCAAGCTCTTGTTACTAAGATATGCAGCGAGCTCCAGCCCCTGCCCCAGCACCTTCGCTTCCAGCTGTGTCAAGCAATGCTTCTCTCCCCACACTTTTCCGGGGTGAGGATGCCCCCATCCTGTTCCCTTTTTTTCCTCCTGAGTCAGAGAAGAATGGACCTCACAGGGGGTGATCCAGAGGGCCATGGGGTTATATAAATCCCAGGGCAGAGAGGAGGTGGACATCGGGGAGTGAGGAAACAGAAAATGGCAGGAGAGCCAGAGCCCCAGCGGCCAAAGAACCATGGTGAGGCTGGGCACCTCTGGGTGCTCTCAGGGGAGCTGGGTCCAGGATCCAGGGTGATATGGGCCTGGCCTCCAGCTTGGGGGTGAGGGAGGTGGCTGAGCTTTGGAGGTCAGCTGCTGTGTTCTGTCCCATGCAGAGGAAGTCACATTTGGAGGCAAGGGATTTGCTGAGAGCAACCCCCAGGGTCTCATTCCCAGCTGCAAGAGCATGCCATGTACTGGGGTGATTCAGGGGTACAGGTGTCAGGGGTCCTCTGAAGAATGAACACAGCAGGGCAGGATCTGCTCCTGGGACCTCAGCTCTGCCTATCTGCCCATCCTGCAGAATGTCTGACCCGAGTCCCCTGGCTTCTTCTGCTCCTCATCTCTCTGGCCCTCTTTGTGCTGAAGTTGGCCATCCTGGTTCAAGGTCAGACAGGGCAGGGCTGGGGAAGGGAGACTGGGATTCAGAACCCTTTTAGGTTGTTTTTTGTTTTGTTTTTGTGAGGTTTTGTCTGTTTCTTATTTTGTTTACTATTTTATTTTTGCACTTGTTACACAAGAAATCTAGTATGGGACATGAACTGAACTTTTAGATTTTCCTTCTGGTATGATCCAGCCCCCAAATTCATCAGAGCTGGGACATCTAAGCTTCACGTCCCTCGTTTCATCTGTGACCAGGGGCAGCTGACTGTTCCTCTCTGAAATGGGGCTCAGAGCTGAACTTGGAGCTGAACTTGGCACAGCCAGGTAGCATCAGTGCTCATGGAGGGTGTGGCTGTGCTCTTCTCTCTTGCAGTTTCCAGGATTCATGGATACCCCCAGGGACAGACTCTGGATCAGCAGGGGAGCTCCAGCTTGGGTGAGGGATAACTGGGCTCTGAGTGGGAGAGGACTCTGAGGCTGTGTGAGGTGGGCGAGCATGGGCACAGGCATGCTGGGTGTGTGACAGGATGTGGGAGGCCATGGACCTGTGTGAGGTCCTGTGTCCTGGCAGTGTTGGGACTAATGGGGTCTGAGGTTCAGTGTTCTAGCCTGTGACATTGGCTCCTGGGGTCACTGTGACCACCAACAGTGATTTTGTGGGTCCAGCTCTGCATCAGGCACACAGTTGGTGCTTAATTGTTGCAAACCTCTTCTTGTAGATGCTGTTCCTCATGAGCAGACACACTCCAGCTTGGAGCAGATCCAGCATCAGCTGACGCAGATCAATGCCTCACTGGGTGAGGCTCCAGGGCCTGAGTTAGGAGGGAGCTGAGGGCTCAGCAGAGGGGTTGGCTCCAACTTCTGGGGCTTCCTCTGAGGTGGGCAGGATAGAGCACGGGGACTGTGGTCTGGGTTTTGAGACCACCGAGTTGGTAGCTGAAATAGAAACCCAACCCTGGGCTCCAGGGTTCAAGGCAGAGGGGAGAAGAGAACCCAGGCCCTGAGCTCACGCACCCCCACTGCACTGTGTGCTCTGCAGCTGGCCTGTGCCGGCCCTGCCCCTGGTACTGGGAGCTCTTCCAGGGAAGCTGCTACCTCTTCTCCAGGACTCTGGGCAGCTGGGAAGCCTCAGCCTCCGCCTGCCAGGCTCTTGGAGCTCACTTGGTGATTGTCAACAGTATTGAAGAGCAGGTGAGTGGGCCCAAAGAAGTCCTTCCATCTTACTTTGTCCTAGGGATTGGATTCCAGATGGGAGGCTGTGGGACATGGAGGAGATGCAGTCTTGTGGGGGGGCGCTGCTTGGGGGGGGAGGAAGCACAGTGGAGTGGGGAGGTCCTGAACACAGGAGAGGGGGTTAAGTCTGAAGGGAGTCAGAGAAGCTTTGAGACATTGTGTGGCCCTCTTGGGACACACCTATGAGCTGAGATATAAGTGGCTGCCTGTAGGAGGAAGCACAGTGGAGTGGGGAGGTCCTGTAGGGGAGGAACACATGAGAGGGGGTTAAGTCTGAAGGGAGTCAGAGAAGCTTCGAGACATTGTGTGGCCCTCTTGGGACACACCTATGAGCTGAGATATAAGTGAACATATTTCCACATGCATGCACTTTGACCTGTATGCATGGCATGCATTCACATGCCAGTCCACACAACTCGACTAATCACACTAGGCTTGAGTGCAGAAAGAACTTGAGTGGGAGACGGGGAAGGGTGGGACTGAGGATGAAGGATGGAAGATGGAGGATGGCCTCACACACCTTTATCCTTACTGCCACATCCGTTCAGAGATTCCTCAAATTCTGGCACATGAGAAAGAATGAACTCACGTGGATCGGCCTCAGCGACCACAGACGTGAAGGTTCCTGGCGTTGGGTGGATGACACCCCCCTCCAGCTCAGGTGACTACTCAGAATCCAGAGGCAGCTGGCTGGTAGATGGCTCTCATTCTAAAGACAGCCTTTGGTCTTGGAAAGCACCATGGCCATTTCAAACGCAGGACCCCCATCCCTGGCATTCTGTCCCTTGAGCCTAAGGCCAGTTCACTAGCATTGCTGGGCTGAGTCTAATGGAGGCAAGGTTAGGACCCAGATTTTGCTAAGCCCTGCCCTGGACTCCTGTCCATTGTCTTGGTCCTCAGACTTTGTCCATGAAACGCCAAGATCCAGTGCCTCTGTAGTGGATGGGATGGGGGTCCAGGCAGGATGGCTCTCTCTGATAACTAGTAATATTTGCAGCTTCTGGAGAGAGGGGGAGCCCAATAATGATGGGGATGAGGACTGCGTGGAGCTGGGAGATGATAAATGGAATGACAGAAGATGTACTGCCAACAACTTCTGGGTCTGTGAGAAGCCCTCGGCTCCCTGCCCTGGTCACTGAGGGTCTGTGCTTCCCATAGGCATGCAAGCAACTTGGGGGCACTCTGCTCTAGTTCCTGCCACCTTTTTCATCCCCAGTGTCCCTGCTCAGAGTCTTTGGGGATCCCGAGAGTGTCCCTGAGACACCCTCACCCTCAGTGCTTCCCTCTTTTTCTATGGGTGATCTCAGTTGCTCTTCCCAGCCCATGACCCCCAGGAGAGTCACACACATGTCTGACCAGCAGGAGGGGGTCACTGCCTTCCACCCCCAGCACTAAAATAAAAGAATGAACAAAAATTCACATGTGGTCTGATGTGTTCTGTTCAGTGGATTCTCTATTCCTGGACACTGTCTTCATTAGGTAAAGCTTTGAAATGTTTGGTATTAACTAGGGTATCTATGTCTACAGTATATTTGGGGTGTGAAGCAACTTTTTGTGTGTGTGACAGGATCTCATTATGTGCCCCTAGATGGCCTTGAACTTGATATGTAGCTCAGGCTAACCTTGAACTCTGCCTCCTGCGTGCTGGGATTAAAGACATGCATGGCTACACCTGGATGAGTCAGTTTATAAAAGTATTTGAGTTGGTACTGTACACCTAGTGAGTGTGTCCATATTGGGTTGGTATTGTACACCTACTGAGTGCGTTCATATTCATTTAACTCTCATATTCTGTCTGTGGGTGAGTCTGTCTCTCTCTCCCTTCTCCACGTCTCTATTTCTCTCCATTCATTCATGAACAATTATTTATTTGGAACCACCCAAATGCCCCTGGACGAAGTCTTATGATTTCACTAAACATTTTTAAAGCACTTCTTCCAGGTTTCTTGCAGCCACTGTGACCATCACTTACAGACTGGTGGGCTAAAATGCCACAAAGTCGTCATCTGATGTGTCTGGAGCTTGGCACATCCTTTGCTGTCTACTTGGGCCAAGAGGCCTACTTGGGGCTGGTCAGGAGTCAGGGGATCACCAGCCCTCTGCGTTTCCCCACAGGCTGCACAGACCCACCCAAACTTCAAAGTGGTTTCAGCCACAGGCTGCAGAAACCCAGACCACATTCCCTGCCTCCTCACCTTTGTCTTGGCTGAACCTTTTACCCGGCATCATGCGCTTCCTCCACCTCCCCAACTTCCATGTTCAAGAGGCACATCAGTGTCATCGAGGTGGTCTGTTGCCCTCGCCTTGAGCCTCTCACTGGTTCCCTGCATGAATTCCTGTTTTACCTCACCTGGGTATGAACCTTTAATATACTTGTTGGATTATTATTAATTGTTGACATAAGTGTTTTACTCTTGATTACTGTTGTGGCAGAGTGTTCTTATGAACCTTTTCTTTCTGGCCTGCATGTTTGTCTGTATAAGGGTGTCAGATCCCCTGGAACTGGAGTTATGGACAGTTGTGAGCTGCCATGTGGGTTCTGGAAAAGGAACCTGGGTCCCCTGGAAGAGCAACCACTGAGCCATTTCCCCAGCCCAAATTCCCAATTTGTAACAAAAAGATTTGTCTTATTGTTATGATTGTTTGTGAGTGTATGCCGCATGTACATGTCCTGTGGAGGTCAGAAAGGGAAGCTAGATCCACTAGAGTTGGTATTACAGGACACTGTAAGCTGTCCTACAAGCAGAACTGGGCTCATCTTAGAGAGCAATATTTGCCCTTAACTGCTGAGCCATCTCTCCAGCCCCACCCATTCCCGATTACTTTCTTACTACACGAATTTCCTAAAGTTGTGTCCTAGGCACATGTCTTAGTTAGGGTTTTTATTGCTGTCATAAAGACCATGACCAAAAGCGACTTGGGGAAAAAAGGGTTCAATCTGTTTTACATGTCTAGGTGACAGTCACAGTGGACAGTCAGGGCAGGAACCTGGAGGCAGAAACTGATGCAGAAGCCATGGAGGGGTGTGCTTGCTTGTTGCAGAATATTTGTTCACACTGTGAAGTTGTGTCTTTGCCAAGGCGCCTTCTGATTGGTTTAAAAAAGAGCTGAATGGCCAATTGCTAGGCAAGAAGAGGTGAGGCAGGACTTACAGGTACAGAGAGGACTCTGGGAAGAAGAAAGGTGGAGACATGAGGAGACACAGAACAAGCAGGATGTATAGGAGGAGAGGTAACAGCCATGAGCCACATGGCATAACATAGAATAACAGAAATGGATTAAACTAACAGAGTTAGTTAGAAACAAGCCTAAGCTAAGGCTAAGCTTTCACAGTTAGTAATAATTCTTTGTGTAATGATTTGGGGGCTGGCAGTCCAAGAAAACCTGCTACACATAATGCCTTGCTTCTTCTGGCTTGCTCAATCTGCTTTCTTATAGAACTCAGGACCACCAGCCCAGGATGCCCCCACCCACCATGGCTGGGCATCTCATATCAATTACCAGTTAAGAAAATGTGCTACAGGTTTGCCTGCAGCCCAATCTTACAAAGACGTTTTCTCAATTGAAGCTCCCTTCTTTCAAACAACTCTAGCTTCTGTCAAGTTGACATAAAAACAAGCCAGCACACGCATTACAGGATTTTCAGATGTAGTGTGAACTTAGTTCTTGCTGCTGCTGTTTCTTTCTCTTGTATTTATTGTGTGCATGTGGCAGTCAGAGGACAATTGTTAGGACTGTGTTCTCTCTTTTAATCAGGAAAGTTCGAGGAACTGAACTCATATCAGGCTCGTTACCCACTGAGCCATCTCACCAGCTTGAGCTCAATTTTCGTGGAAACCTTTAGATCTGCTTTATGCTTCTTTGTCTGATTGCCTCTTAACAAGTTCTACTGACTTTGGGAAGGAGAATGTATGATTTGGTATTTTTCTTTGGAGTCCTTTTCTTTTTTGACTATGTTTTTTTTTCTTTCAGATTTTTTTTATTTGAATTAGAAACAAGATTGTTTTACATGACAATCCCGGTTCCCTTCTCCCTCCTGTCCTCCCCTACCACCACCCCCCAACTAAAACCCTACCTATCACATATCCTTCTGCTCCCCCTGGATGGTGAGGCCTTCCATAGGGTGTCATCAGAGTCTATCATATCCTTTGGGATAGGGCCTAGGCCCACCCCCGTGTATCTTGGCTCAGGGAGTATTCCTCTATGTGGAATGGGCTCCCAAAGTCCACGCCTATGCTTAGGATAAGTACTGAACTACTACAGGAGGTCCTGTAGATTTCCAAGGTTTCCTCAATGAAATCCATGTTCCTGGGGTCTGGATCAGCACCATGCTGGTATTCCAGCTATCAGTCTGGGGAGCAAGAGTTCCCCGATGTTCAGGTCAGTTGTTTCATCTTCACTCCTCCTTCTCTGCAGCTGGATTCCAGTTCAGTTCAGTGATAAGTTGTAGGTGTCGGCTTCTACTTCCACCAGCTGCTGGATGAGGGCTATCAGGTGGCATATATGTCAGTCATCAATCTCATTATCAGGGGAGGACATTTAAGGTAGCCTCTCCTCTGTTGCTTAGATTGTTAGCTGATTAGACTATGTTTTATTTTTTATTTTATTAGTTCAAATTAGGAACAAGCTTGCTTCAGATGTCAATCCCTTCTCCCTCTCCCTCCCCTTCCCCCCAACATCCCACCTGCCCCTAGCCATCCCCCCTCTACTCCCCAGGCAGTGTAAGGCCCTCAAAAGGGGATCCCCAAAGTCTACCAAATCATCCTGGGCCAGGCCTAGGCCCTTCCTCATGTGTCCAGGTCAAGAGAGCATTTCCCTTCACAAGAGATGGGCTCTCAAAATCCCTTCTTTTTTTTTTTTAAGACCTTACATATTTAATACAGTGCGTTACCTCTGTACAAATGGAAAAAAAATAAGTTCAACATTTCTAGACCAATATGGCTGTTAATTTTTGTATAATGCCAACTCAACACAGTAAACTGGGATACTTTTTTCCAAAGTTGACAGCACAGTTAAAGTTTCCAAAAATTCAAATTATAAATATATATATACATATATATATATATTTCTATTTCTATAAAAAGACCAATAATGGCAGTATGTTATGCATCAATAGCGGCAACAGCTTTTCCAGGTTCTGCAGTCATTTGAACAAAATGGTAGAGACATCCAGCACTCTCCATTTAAAAAAAAAGTAAAAAACAAAATCCCAGAAAAACAGCACAGTTCTGTTACTCTTGTGGTACCTGGCACCATTTTTTTTTTTTTAAATTAGCTTCTCAATCATCAACATCAAACATCATTAAAAACAGCTCTGATAAAGCACGGTCACTACTATGTATCATAAAGAAGGTCCACATATGAGTGAGTACATATCATATTTGTCTTTTTGTGATTGGGTTACCTCGCTCAGAATGGTTTCTTCGAGTTCCATACATTTTCCTGCAAATTTCAAGATTCCATTGTTTTTTTTTT